TTGTATTATCTCCGGGCAAAGCCGCTTCCTCGCTGCTCATAAAGGAGGGGTGGGGGGCGCAACCTCAAACAACCGCCTCCCACGCGGGAAAAGCCCCTCGCGCTTCTTCCCGGGGCGCGGCAGTGCAGGCCTGTTGCTCAGAGCGAGGGCCTGGGGCCCAGGCTTCTGCATTCTGCTCCCTGGGCCACGGCCCGCTCTGCTCTCCTGGCTGCAGGGGGCAAAGAGGAGCTGACAAATACCTCGGTGGCGCCAGCGTCTGCTCCAGGAACTCCTCGCCTCCCACGCGGGAAAAGCCCCTCGCGCTTCTTCCCGGGGCGCGGCAGTGCAGGCCTGTTGCTCAGAGCGAGGGCCTGGGGCCCAGGCTTCTGCATTCTGCTCCCTGGGCCACGGCCCGCTCTGCTCTCCTGGCTGCAGGGGGCAAAGAGGAGCTGACAAATACCTCGGTGGCGCCAGCGTCTGCTCCAGGAACTCCTCGATTTTCATGAAGTCTGTTTTCAGCTCCTTGTTGAACAGCAAGAAGGGAGGGTTGGTCCCTGGAGCCAGAGACTTCAGCTCTTCGGGTTTCCTGCAAGGAATCGGTGTTTACAGACACCGGGGCCCCACGCTCATCTCCCCACCATGCGCAGCCACCACGCAGGGCCTGGCGTGGCAGGGCGGAAAGGGACCGAGAGGCCGTAACCTTTGCCCAGCCCTGCCGGGTTTGTCCCGCCTGCTCCTCCAAGCCCCGTGGCGCAGGACGGACTAGTGCGCGGAGCAGGCAGTGCGGAGACAGACTCGGGGCCTGGGCTGTGGAGCCAGAGCCATGGAGGCTCCTGGAGAAAGGGCCAAATTCTCCCCTGAGCATCCAGTGAGCACTGGCCCCTGGGAGCTGTCGGGGGTGGCCTGTGGGAGAAGGGCAGGGTGGCACTGGCCCTTTAAGGGCAAAAGCCCAGCCCGTAGCAAGGGCTGAGGGCCCAGCGGGGCTGCAGAGAGAAGGGCTCCCGCCCTGGAATGAGAGCAGGAGGCGGAGCAGGGCTGGGGAGACTCTGGCCAAGCAAGGGCCTGAAGCAGCCAGGTGAGGCAAAGGCAGCAGGTCCAGCCCCTTCGCCAGTGGCCATTGCAGATGGCAGTTTGCCCCGAATCTAGCCTGGCAGTGGGTCACTGAGGTAAGGGGGGTACAGGGGAACGGGGTGCCCCTGGGGGGGGAGGGCCCTGGAGTGCACGGTGTAGCACCCCCCCGCCGGAGGGCCGTGTCCTGAGTGGGCGCCGTGGGTCTGGAGATGAGGGGAGAGTGCGAACACGGGGAGACGCCAGCTCGAGGCAATGAGCTAATTCCCAGAGCACCCGGCTGGTGGCGAGTCTGCCCTGCGACATGCAGCCACTTCGGGTTCCCGTCACGGCTCTGGCGCTGCAGGGCCCTCGGGGGCTCCTCCTGGGCACTTGGGCCGTTTGCAGGCAGTGCAGGGGCCTGGCTTTGGGCCCAGACTCCCTGCTGGCAAACCCTGGGTCATAGAATCATAGAATCATAGGACTGGAAGGGACCTCGAGAGGTCATCGAGTCCAGCCCCCTGCCCTCAAGGCAGGATCAAGCTCCGTCTACACCATCCCTGACAGATGTCTATCTAACCTGTTCTTAAATATCTCCAGAGAGGGAGATTCCACCACCTCCCTTGGCAATTTATTCCAATATTTGACCACCCTGACAGTTAGGAATTTTTTCCTAATGTCCAATCTAAACCTCCCCTGCTGCACTTTAAGCCCATTACTCCTTGTCCTGTCCTCAGAAACCAAGAGGAACAAATTTTCGCCTTCCTCCTTGTGACACCCTTTTAGATATTTGAAAACCGCTATCATGTCCCCCCTTAATCTTCTTTTTTCCAAACTAAACAAGCCCAGTTCATGAAGCCTGGCTTCATAGGTCATGTTCTCTAGACCTTTAATCATTCTTGTCGCTCTTCTCTGCACCCTTTCCAATTTCTCCACATCTTTCTTGAAATGTGGCGCCCAGAACTGGACACAGTACTCCAGCTGAGGCCTAACTAGTGCAGAATAGAGCGGCAGAATGACTTCACGAGTTTTGCTTACAACACACCTGTTGATACAACCTAGAATCATATTTGCTTTTTTTGCAACAGCATCACACTGTTGACTCATATTCAACTTGTGGTCCACTATGACCCCTAGATCCCTTTCCGCCATGCTCCTTCCTAGACAGTCGCTTCCCATCTTGTATGTATGGAACTGATTGTTCCTTCCTAAGTGGAGCACTTTGCATTTCTCCTTATTAAACCTCATCCTGTTTACTTCTGACCATTTCTCTAACTTGCTAAGGTCATTTTGAATTATGTCCCTATCCTCCAAAGAAGTCGCAACCCCACCCAGTTTGGTATCATCTGCAAACTTAATAAGAGTACTCTCTATCCCAATATCTACATCATTGATGAAGATATTGAACAGTACGGGTCCCAAAACAGACCCTTGAGGAACTCCACTTGTTATCCCTTTCCAGCAGGATTTAGAACCGTTAACAACAACTCTCTGACTACGGTTATCCAGCCAATTATGCACCCACCTTATCGTGGCCCTATCTAAGTTATATTTGCCTAGTTTATCAACTGTCATTGCAGGGAGCTCGGCGGCAGGGCGGAGGGAGCGCCAGGGGGGAGAATTTGGCCACTGCTGGGCTGCTAGCAGGGCATGGCCTGCAAGGACACTGGTCAGCTCCATCCATTGCCACGGCCGGCAGCGGGCAGGGGGCCGAGCGTGGGGGGTCTGAAGGGCCGTGCGAAGAGCCAGGAGCCGTGGGGCGCTGGGGTTTGGTTGGTGTGCGCAGCCAAAGGGGAGCGCTGAGTGCCGCCGCGGTGCTGTGTTCGGGAGGGCCCGGTGCCAGGGGTCCCCGGGTCCTTACCGCGTCATGTCCACCGTGGTCACGTTGAATTTCACGCCTTTGAGCCACAGCACCATGAAGAGACGCTGGCAGAAGGGGCAGTTCCCGATGTTCTCACCGTCCAGGCCCGCCTGTGGGAGGAGACACCAGATGGATCCCCAGCCGGCTCCTGCTGCGCTCGGCTTGGCGCCCGGGCAGGCCAGCACACCAGGCGACTCTGGGGAGGGTCGGTCAAGCCCAGATCCCCCAAGGCACTGAGCCCCTACGTCCCGCTGGAAGCCCAGGGGGGCTAGGCCCAGAGCCTCAAAGGTCCCTTTCTCTCCATTCAGGGCAGCGTTGTGGTGTGATGTGCCGAGAGCTCTCCCCTAAGCCCAGGGCCCGTTTCCAGGCTGTCTCAGTATGAGCCCAGGCTGCAACATTAACCTGGGGGTAGGTTTTCTAAGGGGGCTTGTTAGGGGTCAGGGTCCAGTCCACCCCGTTCCACAGCGACCTGGCACCTGCCATGCAGAGAGCGGCTCCTGAGTTTGGGGAATCCCTTCCCACAAGGCTGGGCGCCCGGCTGCTCAACATTGCATGGGAAGATGAAGGGGAGGCCCTGGGGAGCCCCGGGCACAGCCAGCCCCGCCCTGGGGAAGGGCCATTCTGGGCAGAGCTCTGCCAGGGATCCAGGCCTCGTGTGCTGATCGCCGGGCAGATCCCACCTCCTGGCGAATGATCCCCACGACGACTCAGCCCCGGACATTGACATACACCAGGTGGGGCGCAAAGTCAGAGGAGGAGGCCTTAGTTCACACCACACCCCGGCCTACAGCGTCATGGGGGACCCACCAGACACGGGACCCCGGGCCGGGCCAGGGAGGCCTTGGAGTCCGACTCCAGCGAACGTGGCAGCAAGCCCCTGAAAGACTGAACGTCATCTAGCTCTGGATACCAAGCTTGTTGCCATGGTACCTGAGCGCCTGCCATGCCCCAGTGCTGATCGCCAGCGGAGCGGGGGGCTGCTGGGATCATGACCCAGCACCAGCAGAGTGAGGCGTTTTTAGGCCAGGGCTGTATGGTCCTGTTGCTGGGAGGGGAGCTGGGCCGGAGGGGAAGGCAATACGGAAGCTCTCTGCCTCTTGCAGCCAGATTGGAAAGCCTGTCTCTAGATGGTGGGTTGTCAGGGGCTCTAAGGCAGGAAGTGAGAGAGGGAGGGGAAAGCCAGTGCACTCAGTGCTGGTGGCAGCGGTGGGGGAGGCAGGCACAAAAGGAGGATGGAGTTTGATAATGGATTGGACAGGAAGGGAGGCCCCTTGCTAGCAGGAGCTAAAACTCAAGAGGGAGGGTGTGGGGGGAAATGCACGAATGTTTTCCAGGAGAACAGTAGTTTGTTTTCTTTTCACTGTTCATTGCTGATTTAAAGGGCCAAGGCGTAAATTCCCAGCGGCTCAGATTTTCCATGAGCCAGACAAACAATTCCCCTTGTAAAAACGAAACTCGGTCTTCAGCCAGGGCAACAAAAATGAAGAACATTGCAAGCCTGCTGGGCAAACCCCGGGGCTGCCGTTCCAGACCCAGTTCCAGCCCTCGTTCCCCGGGAAGCCCTGATCAATAAACACAGACAGGCACCTCCGGGCTCTGGATTGAGCAGCCCAGGCCATTGTAGGAGAGCTGGGATGGCTCAGTTCAAGGCAAGGACTCCCAGACTGCGGGCCCTTGTCCATGCTGCCCAGCCGCTGCGGCTCCCCCCCCTCTCGCCACCGAGTTCTGCTTGCTGCGTTACAAGGCAGTAGCTGCCGTTTTGCAGACCACTGGGTGCTGGAAGGCTGGGGAGCTAGGTGGCCTGTCTCGGACCCTTTGCTACCGCAGCGAATCGAACACAAACCCACGTTGTAACAATCTGGCTTGTCTGTGGCCATGCTGGAAGGCCTGTGCTAGGCCTGAACCAGAGCCGCCTTCTGCAGCAAGACTGAAGAGCAGCAGCCGTTACTGTAAGGTCTGGAGTCACAGCCTCACAATTCCATCTAAATTGTATTAAAAAGTGTCACCCCAGGCTGTGAGGAGGGGACGTTGCCCTGACAGCCTCCCACTGTCACCAGGTAAAGAGACAGATCTCAGGATGGGTAAAGAAACGTGAGTCCCACCATTCTGTCTGGCCAGAAACTGCTTCTCCATAGAGGATGGTGTGGAATCCTCCTCCTACGAGCATTGTCACTGCACTGGCCTATTGTTCGACTGTGATCTCGGTCTGGTTTGTAACGGTTTCTGTCTGCTGGATCAGTAATTTTGCCAGGTGTAAATCAATGGAGGTGGTGGGGTAGGATTGGTTAGGTCTTTTTGTTAGGATTGGTTAGGAAAATTATACTAAACTAATTGGTGAGGGTCTAGCTAAGCAAGACTCAGGTTTCATTATATAAACTGGGGTCCAAGAAGGAGACCAGGAAGAAGAGGCCCGGAAGTAACAGAAGCAGAAGGAAGGAAGACAAGGCTGGAAGAAGACCAGGAACACGAAGAAGAAGGGGGAAGACCTGGAACAGAAGAACTCACCTCCCAGACACAGCCTAAGACCAGAGAGACTGATATTGCCTGGCCAGCGGGGGAAGTCTGCCTGCCTGTACCAGGATTGGTGAGCACGACCCTGTGTGCTTAGCATGTGCATTCTGCTAGCTTGGGAATTGTCAATCAATAGAGGATAAGGACGTTACTGTGTGAGGCTCTCTCAGTGGCTAAAGATCCTGCAAAACCGGCAGGGAGTTGTGCCCTGAGCCCTAGGAATGGGTGAGGGCGGGTGTGTAAAATCACAGGGTTGCACCTTGAGCCCTAGGAACTGGGTAGAGGTGCGTGTACCTGCAGTGTGGAAGGGACAGAGAAATTGGTGCAGGTAACAGCGCGGGCGCTGGCTGATCATGGGAAGCGGAGCGTTTCGGTGCCGGAGGGTGGATCTGGGCGCAGGCCAGGCCACAGAGCGGGAAGTTGTTGCCCACTGATTTCTGGTGCCCTGTTTGCAAGGAGCGAGTGTTCTCCTAATTCCACGGCTGCGAAGCAAGCGGCACTGCAAGGATGGCACACGCCAAGGCTGAATGGGCGTGAGGACCGACTTCCAGGGCAAGCAGCTTCCTCGGCCATCTCTGCTAACCCGGCCCATGAGACACCCAGAGAGTCTCAGTGCCCAGAGCTGCCCCCCTGCCCTGCTCACATGCAGTCCCCCCGCAAGCAGAGACAAGCTTCCCCGCAGCTCCCTGACAGCATGGAGTGGCTCAGAAGACAGGGAGGCCAGCTGCAGTGTGACCAAGCCCAGTGAGTTGCAGGGAAGACTCGCCCAGGGCCATGCCAGGGGCTGGTGCTGACTGTGTTGGCAGGCCTGGCACACCCGCACAGAACAGAAAGAGCGGCCACAGCGCGGATCTCCCCGTCTGCGGGTGCAGGCGTTGCAAGGAGGAAAAGCCAGGCCAAGCCGCTCTCGGTGGAGTGCCGGGAACTGCCCCTCTGAGAACGTTAGCATAGGCGGGGGATCGGGCAGCGGCCTCGTCCCAGCCATGCCCTATGGGCCAATGAGCAGAGCAGGCACTAAGCACCCAGGCCTGTGAGCGGCTTGGAGCCAGGCTGTTCAGCGCCTCCCGGGATTCCTCTCCCCCTCCCAGCCCAAAGCAGGGGCAGGATTTAGGGCCAGATTCTCTGATTCTGAGGCCTCTCCAGTGTTCGCCCGGGAGCAGGATCTGGCTCTGAGCGGTGCCGGGTCCCTACAGCTGCCACTGGGGCCCGTGCGTGTCCGCGCCCCTTTGGACAGGCCCTGCTTCATCAGTGCTGCCTGCCGGGACAGTTAAACACGGGGAGGCGGCTCGTTTACCCCGAACGGCTTTCTGCTGCTAGGGTGAGGGAGCGTCGGGGAAGTACAGAGCAGGCCTTCGTTTTCGGTTCCCCGTCTCTGAGAAAAGCCCCTTGGCTCAGATGCAGTTTTGAAACCATCTTGTGTGTCATTTTCCTGCCTCTCCCTAAGGCGGGGAGGGACCAGCAGGGGCCCAACAGCATTGGCAAAACTCCCCGGGCCAACCGCTCTGACCAAAGGAAAGACCATCACTGGCTTGGCTCTCGGCA